TTTGCAGAATTCGACAAATCGTATTTTTCTGAGGAATTAAAAAAAATGGCAAAAGCGGATTATGTTGAAAAATAAAAAAAATTTTTGTGAAAAGCTTGCGTCTTCATTACTAACACGGGTACTTATTGATTTGCCCTATGTATATGTATGTAATAATATATGTACAGTAATTGATGATATCGTAATTCCGGTATGTATGTCGTATTTATCGAAAACTTAATTTATCAAGTATTGTGTATTATGTGTTTAAGGTAAATATATTACACCAATAAAAATGTTACATTTTCTGCTAAAAACTAATTAGAAATACGAAATATTTAGTTTTTATATAAATCAAATATTAAAAGAGGAACTTTTTAAAATCCTTGTATTTTTATCGTGACTTACAGGGATCTCAGAATATACTCATAAAAGATTTATAAATAATGGTTAGAAATCAAATGCAGTAGTTTATAAAATGTGTTTATACAAAGTTTTATTAAGAATTAAGGATGATGAATATATTAGGTGTACAAATAAGTTTTCGCCGTTTTTAATAAAAAATTAAACATTTATTGTGAAAGAATGATACATAATGTTTTATTGATGTAAGTCAAAATGTAAGTGCAAGTTTTTTTTGCGTTTAGCACGAATCTTCATTCAATAATGCTTCCAATTCCGCGTCTTCGTACACTTTCGGCCTTCCGCTACGTTCTTTGTCTTCGACGTCAAATTCATCGTTCTTAAATTTTTGAAACCATTCACGACAACTTCTCTCACTTAAGGCAGCCTCACCATATGTTTCTACAAACAATCAGATGAGCCTCAGCTGCAGATTTCTTCAAATTAAAGAAGTAAATCAAAAGTTCCTGCAAATGACGCTTATTCGGCTCAAAACTCGGCATTTTCGCACAAAAAAAAATATATGATGCTGATACAAAATCGCTAGTATTTCAAGGTTATGTTGTTGACAGATGTCCAACCTTACGATATAATGTTTTACATCAGACAATTTTAATCATAGCTTGCTAGTAGCGCCGTTTTTTGTCAAACGGCGGAAACTTATTTGTACACCTAATATAATATATAGGAAGTAATAGATAATATTTCTAATCTTGTATATATTACAAGAGTTATGATATAAGGTAATATGTTTTATGTAATGCATTTAATTTAGTGTACTTAATCCAATATGTATGTTTTATGCGTTTTGATATAAAACCTATCCGCAAAAAATTCCATATGTTCTAAACAGGTGAAAGATGCAACATCAAGCTGAACGAAAAATGAAGTTAAGCACTTTGTATTTTGTTGTAGACCATTCTTTATCATTTCTCTACATTTATGTATCATAAAATCATCAAATAATCGTGTATCACCAAATAACCAAATCTTTTGCACTCTCTACAGTAATAATTTCACGTAAGTTATAAGACATGGTTGCGCTACTTACTACATTGACAAATTGATTCAACTGATATAATAGTGTTACTAATATTACAGTAAAAAATTGAAGTCACGATATTAATATAACATAAAGACATATATAACAAATTATATATTATAATATAATAGATATATAATAGATAGATTGCTTGCATATTATCTTCACTCCTTTTATTCTTTCTAATTTCTGTGACATAAATCCTCGCGCGGCATAAATGTCGGAGTTACTTTATTGTAAGAATTCTTTTCCAATTTATTAGAGAGCGCACGAAATATTAAAGTATGATACTTTTTTGATCGTTTAATTTGAAATTTATGTGATAATTAATAAATGATAAGTAAATGTATTAGTAAAAGTGGAAAGTATTAATGTATTCTCATTCTTCAGCTGAAATACGAGTATTGAAAACGGATAATCCATTACAAAATATTCATAGCGGGAAAATGAGTATTGAAAACGGACAATTTATTAAAAAATACTCATACGTATACTCATGTGTACTCGTTTTTGTACCTTCGCGGTATACTACGAATGCTTGCGAGTGCAAGAAATGGGCAAGAATGGGCTAAAAATGGGCTAAAAACGGTCCATACAAGGTGAAAAAGAGATGAAAAATTTTTATAAGGATTCTTTCTAATCTCCATCAAGCCAAATATCTTAGTCAGTATTATACAATATCCGTATATAAGTCAGTATTCACGTATATTTCCTTATAATATATTATTTCATGTTTGTATACGTATTTCTTGTCTTATGTGTCTGCCTATCGAAGCGGACAATGTGTCGAATAAACATATAGAGAAAATGAGCACGTAAGCGCGTGACCATGCTTGCTGTTGTATGCTCATTCTATAAATAAATAGGTAACAGACATCTTTAGTGAGTATTCACACGCTTATACATTGATTTTCTTTCATGCCACTAAAAATATTGGAATATTTTTGCATTTAAAGATTTTTGTCGTGTATTAATTGATTTTTGAATATTGAAGTGACACTTTCATATTGTTTCAAAAGAAACATTCTTGAAGTAGATATAAAAATTTCAAGTAAAAATCGGATTTTATAAATAGATTTCTATTTATCTAAGAAATAAAGCAACGATCTATAATTTTCAACAATTTATGATGTAAAAGCTTCAAGAACTAAGAAACTTCATTATATCGCGATAAACTTTAACAAGATTTTTTTTTCATCTTATATTATTCTATTTATTATTAAAAACTATATATTTCAAAAAATAAATGTTTCCAAATTGATGTATTAGATTTTACGATCTTTGAAATATTATATAAATATATGATTTTTTTTTAATGATATATTTGTGTCTCACATACTCACATGCATGCACATGTAT